AAATTGTCTGACGTCATAATCTTTAATCAAAAACTGAAAATTGGCTTCTGCTCCGGAATGGCGTTCTTGCTCTGATGACGTCAGTTTGACGGCTGGGGAAAAATTAAATATTAGCATTACAATTAGCTGCTTGAACAAAATAAATACATAAATAAAAAAATAAATTAATTAAATAAACCTTTGTATGTATCAGTGGTGGAGGTAAGGAATTACAACTACTCACGTTACTGTAATTAAGTAGTTTTTTCGGGTACTTGTACTTTTTTGAGTATATTTTGAAAGCTGTACTTTTACTTGTACTTAAGTACAAATTAAGCAAAATAATCTACTTCGTTACTTTTAAATCATAGTTCGTTACTGAGTACGCCCACAATTTGAATTGATATTCAAACCTTTGACGGCACTTCACAATAGCCAATAAAGATATCTGATTGTAAACGGACCAATAACAGCCCTGATATCTGAACCGGGAAAAGCCGCCGCTTTTCCAAGCGGCCTCTCTCTTTCCTCTCCGACAGTGAGTTTGGCACGCATCCGCCTCCTGTCAATTACAGAGTCTAAACTAATTTCAAAGCTTGAAATAATGATTGCCTTGGAAAAAATGGATGTACAAAAAAAAATGTAAAATATAAAAATATCTGGCAGTATACAGTATGTGTTAGTTTTGCCAATGGTATTGAAAATGATTAGTCGTCATGAAATCAAAAATGACCATGTACTTACTTTTTAGTGCACATTAGTCTTGTGGCGAACAATTAAACCGTGCAAGTCAATACACTGGAAAAAAAAATTGTCTGACGTCATAATCTTTAATCAAAAACTGAAAATTGGCTTCTGCTCCGGAATGGCGTTCTTGCTCTGATGACGTCAGTTTGACGGCTGGGGAGAATCCTCTTGTTAAGTCATGATGTAAGGACTGCTGTTACCGGGTCCATGCCTCTACCCATTTGACTTGAGAATACTATCTCAACAGCCATTTATGAGCATTATTTAATTAATATTACATTTTAAGCTAAGCATTTAAAAATGTGCTGTGCACACTACAGTATCCGTGCTCACAGTGTCTCAGACACTAATATTTTAGCTGAATCACTGTCAGGCCATCTGGGATTTCAGTATGGAGATAAAGGTTAGGGTTATAATTCTTCAGTATTACATGACATCGTGGGTGTATATTAGCACAGTTTGTTGTTTTCTTGGGGCGTCTGGCAGAGCATTAGGACCCAGAAACAGTGAAGCATGTCGTCAGACGTAACAAGCAGATATTCTAAACCACTATCCAACCGTAAATCTTCTATGAGCAAGAGGTGGAGTGGAGGTGCACCACAATAAAACCCCGCCCTTTATTCAATATTTCATTTCACTTGAAAATACATCACAACACTGAAGTCAGTTGCAACTTCCGGTTCACGGG